AGTTACCATAATAGACTTTACAGTCTTTAATTCTCTCTCTCTCTCTCTCTCAAAAATAATTTTAATGAAACGATATAAAAAATTTGAAAGTACAATTCAAGAATTAGCTTTATATTGTAGAAATGTAAACAATTAATTAATAAAATTATAATTTGTTTCCTATCCAGTAATTTAAAGTTAATTTTATTCTTATAAATATATTAGAAATAATTTTTTACTTTTTACAGTTTATAAACTTTCTCTCACACATACAGTTAAATGAAATTAAAATATAATTATTTGATAAAAAAAACATTAATACTTATTACGCAAATTAAATTTTTTAAATTCTTATTAATAGTACGTGATAAATTAAAATATGATTTACGTAAAACAAATATTAGTTTTATATTTATCAATTAAGTAAAGAATAAAAACAAAAATTATCTAAAGTGACATTTTCTACATAAAATTGTAAATAACTAATGCACTTTATTAAAAAGTAAATTGAATATTAATAATAATAAAAGATAGCATCTTGAATAATTAATTTGAATTTCCCAACTACGTTGAATTACTCTTAATTTGCATTGCTAATGGTCAATTTTATCAAATCATTGATCTTGAAGGTTTTCATATTATTCAAATTAAATTAATGTAAATTAAATTAAAGTCTAGCAAAGTAAATATATAATATTTAAACATAACAAAAATAGTTATTTTAAGTTTCAAATAAAATACAATACCTTGAAAAATAATTTTTACCCACGATGTTAAATATAACCATTAAATAGGAAATATTTCAATTCATTCATTTACTTTTATTAGTAAGACGCGCTAGATCTTTATGTCTATTATACTGGTTATTATTATAGTTAATTAATCAACATGTCTTTAAATGTAAAAATGACCATGATGCCCATAATAATGTTTGCGGTCCGACTGCTGATCACTATCTATACATACGTTACACTTCCCTACTATTACTGGAGCCAAAAGCCGTGGCATCGGCTTAAAAGAGCCCATAGATGTCGGGCCCGATTAGAGGTGCCGACGGACGCGGCCAACAGCGCCTGGATATGCAATGGACCCAAACTAACTCATCCAGTTATACGGCCAACAGTGACCGAAATATTAAACAACCTGGTCAAATACCACGGTCATGATACACCTATTTTAGGTATAATACACTGGTTTATGATTTTTAAAGAATAATGCAGAATGAAGAAGGTTAATAAATATTTAAATATTACAGTATATGTTAATCCTATGTCTATGTTTTATAATGAAATTAAAAAATAATCCATGTAGGTGTATTTAAGATTATTTTATTTAATATTAATAACGATATTTATCTGTATATTATCCTACCGTAAGCTTATCGGGAAGTACTGTCTGCCGATAAGTCAATGGCAACCAACGGTAAATGCGGGCAATTAGACAACAAACCGGTGCGAACGTTACGTTTAGGCGACTATAAGTGGCTCACATACGGCCGGGTGGACACAATTACCACATCCCTAGCCAGAGGGCTGGCGGCCAATGGGGCCCACTTTGGCGATAAAATATTGATCCTATCGGAGACACGCGTGGAGTGGTTTCTATGGGCTCAGGCGGTGGCAAAACTAGGTGCTTGTATTGTCACATTATCGCCAAATCTAGGTATTTATTTATGTGATCTTGGTGTAATATTTTGTGGTGCATAATTTCTAAAAATTACTGTTTAATGTGAGTGAGTTAGCTTGTATCTCAAAGTTGGCCCTGAGAGCTAAATTTGCAAACAGACTTTATTAACAATATATTATCACCCTTTATATTTAGAATAATAGAAACTAATATAAAATGTTTGTTAGTTTGTTAATTAAACAAACAAATTATAATTTTTTGAGACAAACTACAGTATGAGTGAGAATTGGAGAATAAGTTATAGACTGTAATATCTAATAAGATAGATATTAATAGGGTTTATAATTGTAACTTCTAAAATTGTAATTGGGCAATGAAAAACAACAGTAAATATTAATTTTGTTAGATGTTAGTTAATATAATAAAAATAATTAATAAGCTTAATATTAAATTGGTTAAGCAATTTAATTTTAATTTTACCAAACACAACTTTATAGAATATCAAACATAATTATTTATAATGATATTACAAAATTGATATATGACCAAGGTGATGAGGGACTCGCATACGGCATAAATCAGACGGAAATCAAACTAATGATCGTTTCGGGCGAATGTGTGCCCAAAATCCGGTCACTAATCACTCAAATACCGACCGTTCGTACCATTGTATACATAAACCTCAATAACTTCCAACTGGAAACCGACTCCAAGTGCACACCTGGTGACCAAATCACGGGCTTTCCGGACACTATTCAAGTGCTGTCTATGCGTGAGGTGGAGCTGAAAGGTGTCCACCGCTCCGACATTGCGCTCCAGACCCCTGAACCGGACGATCCGTTTGTCATAATATACACGTCGGGCAGTACGGGTGCGCCCAAAGCAGCGGTGGCCACACATCGGCAAATGGTCAACGGGTCGGCCAATTCACTACTATCACTATTCAAAGATATTATAGCCGACGGCACCGGTAGCCACACGTACGTGGCGTTTCTGCCATTGTGTCACGTGTTTGAGCTGACCATTGAATTCTTCCTCTATTACGGTACTGTTGTCTCAGTTCATGTATTCATGTTTTACCTTGTTACCCTGTTAAACAATTTTTAATATTATAGTTAAACAATTTTAAATATAATACAACTATCTACAAAAAAATAACTGAAACTATTTTCAACTAAATTACGGCCAGTGGGCGTAAAAATAGGTTACGCCACTACATCCACGCTGACCGAGTCGGGCGCCGGTCTGGCACCGGGCGTGCCGTCAGACGTATCGCTATTGCGGCCAACGGTTATGATATGCGTTCCCCTAATGCTCGACCGCATACTCAAGGATATGGGCGCTCGGCTCACAGCCCGGTCGCCACTAGCCGTACCCATGTTTACCCATTTAATGGCATACAAGTCGTATTGGACCGAACGGGGCTACCGGTGCCCGATTGTCGACAAACTTGTTTGCGACAAATTGCGCCAACAAATGGGCGGTGCGCTACTGGTGGCAATAGTGGGCGCCGCACCCCTGAGCCCCACCACTCAGGCCACCCTTAGAGCTGCGCTCGATATCGCGCTGCTGCAGGGTAAATTTATTATTCTATATGTTATGATTAAATTTTTACTTTATATAAATTGTAATGTTAATTAACCAATATTTTTACGCATGTTATGTTTTGAAAGTATACGGAACAACAGAGACAACGGGCTGTGTGTTTGGTACGTTTGTAATATGCTAAACAAAATGCACAAAAAATATACTTTATATAAAAATTACGTGGGCTATAACTTTTTTATTTTTATTCATTGACAGCGATGGACCATGACGATTTATCTATCAGCCGCGTGGGCGCACCCCTGCAGGGCATGAGAATTAAACTCATCGATTGGGAAGAGGTTAGTATATAGACCGACACGAAATTAGTGTTTGAATTATTGTAACTTCTCAATAATATTACCCTGTTAAATCAGGGCGGCTATTACCGCTCGGATCGGCCGAACCCCAGGGGCGAGATAGTGATTGGCGGCGATTCAGTGGTCACCGAATACTATAAACTGGCCGAACAGACCCGTGAGGCGTTCTGGACAGATGACAGGGGCTGTCGTTGGTTTTACACGGGCGATATCGGCGAGATATTCCCCGATGGTACTGTTGGTATTATTGATCGGCGCAAGGATTTGCTTAAATTACAAAGTGGGAGATATGTTTCGTTGGGACAAGTTAGTTTATAATATTATCCGGGTGATATTATTTACCGCAAACTCTGAGTCAAACTTGAGAGAGAAAGATAGAGAGAGAATTAATATAACGCTATAAAGTATTTATATTTAGCAAACATTTTTAACCATTGCAAACTGTAACAAATCATTTGATAGTACTAATGCTATTTATAAATATAACCCATTTTAATGTTTATTGGGAACATCGGAAAATGAGATTTAATTATATTTTTGATAATTTTATAAATAGTAAGTGATTAATTATACGAATAAATTAACAAAACAAAATATTTTAGAGAGAGAGAGAGAGAGAGAGAGAGAGAGAGAGAAATCAATTCATGAAACATTATTTTTAAAATAACCATGATTTTAGATCGAGGCGGCGCTAAAACTATGCCAATACGTGGACAACATATGCGTGTGTGGGGACGGGTATAGCAACGAGTTGACAGCACTGGTCAGTCCTAATCGCTTACATCTCCGCAAACTGGCCGACGAGTTGGGTCTGAATGGGGCAAATGTGGGTGAATTGTGCCAAAATCCTGACCTCCGGGACCGGTTTTACCGGGCGATTGTCGGGACGGGACTGTTGGCCGGTATCCCAGCGAAGGAGATACCGGTGCGCATATGTCTGGTGCCGGACGAGTGGACAGTAGACAACGATTTAATGACAGCAGCCATGAAAACAAAACGCAAAGCCGTGGAGAGACGGTATTGCACAGAAATTGATGCCCTATTTGGCCGATAATTATGTAATTTTTTAATTAATAATATTGGTGTTTTGGTATAATGGTAGTTTTTTTAATTATTTTGATAGTATTTTTATATAAACACCCATTAAAAACATGATAATAATAATTATATGGTATTTTATAACTATGCTGTTAATTTATCAGTGATAAATGACATACACTCGTATTATGAAGTAGATTATAATGTAAGGTATTAAACCTGTTATTTTTTAGGTAAAATAAGTGATACAATAACATTATGTGTAAAAATAAAATCATATTTAACAATTTTATCAAAAATATATTATCTATAAAAATGACTATTAAAAGCCACCATGATTTATTAATGCCTTAAACAATCTTAATATGCAAATTAAATTTAGTTGTTTAATTATATTTATACTGTATATGATAAATTTTAGTCTTAATTATTTGATATATACAAACTCTATGAGTAATTAGATTAATATAAACTTGGTTTAATATTAGGTGCGTGGTATTATCATTTTTTAAATATTAGTTATAACAGACTTTTTATTTATTGAAAACTGTAATAAATAATTTTATAGGTATTAATAGTGTTTATAAATATAAGTTACATAAATCTATTTTGGGATACAGTACCAAAAATTGAAAAATATATTTAAACATTAATGTAATTAATGATGCTAAAAAATTAACAAAACAAAATATTTTTGCATAATAAAGTATTATGAACTATGTGGCAAAATATATAATTAAGCTAATTAAAATTTTTATAATAAAGTATCATATGATTAGCACGAAATCAATTAAGATTTAATTCTTATATTATCCACTATAGATACTATGAGATATCAATCACTCGGAAACTACTTTATCAATTTTTAAAATCTTCAAGGTTTTTCTATGAACGCCCTAAGTAAATCTCTCTCTCTCTCTCTCTCTCTCTCTCTCTCTAAAATATTTTGTTTTGTTAATTTATTCGTAT